GTGTTTAATATTTTACTCTACATAGGGAAGTTCCAAGTAAGAAAAGAGTAAACAGCTTTTCCCAGTGGTTTTGATGACGTAACCCTTTCAGTCCGTGGAGCACCTCGAGGTATGAGTGTTCCATGGCTCATGCTTTGTGAAACCCTGGATCGGTGCTTCTTATAGTTTGGGTATAGCTGTCTCCTCAACTCCCCGGTGCTGTGTTATCTCAACTACCAGGTTTCTTCGCTTTAGCCTTTTTCTTCTTCCTTCTAAATTATAAGCTGCTGCCAGATTTGTATTTCTGAAGCGTGGCTCTGATCATTTTACTCTCCTACTCATAAGTAAACCTGAATTTCCTTCCCTCTCACACAAATAATTCCAGATGGACCAAAGAGTTAAGTGTAAAAAACGAAAACTGCAAAATCAGTGGAAAGAAACATGGCTGAACTAACTGAAAATCCTTTAGTGAGAAAAATTCTTCTAAGCAGAATGTTAAACGACAGTGCCATAAATAAAACTGGTAAATTTGCCTAAATAAAAACGGAAATAACTTATTGCAAGAAGTAAGGTAAGTCTAAACAAAGTATGACAAGATTTACAGCCAATGGCTGCTTTCCATAATTAAGGGCTCATTCAAATCCATAAGCAAAAGACAAAACCTTGAGCCCATAGAAAAATGGGTAAATGATATCAGTGAGAATTTCCCTGACAAAGAAAGACAAATGTAGGTCACTAAAATATGAAAGATCCTAAGCTTTACTCTAAATGTTAATGATAGAGAAAAATGGAGATACTATTTTTTTTTTACCTGCCAGTTTTTCAAAGTAAAGGTTTATGACATCAAATATTGGTGAGCATGTAAAGAAAAAAAATACAAAACGTATACTCTTGGTGGAAGACTCTTGGTGGAATTTTGACAGACTTTGGAAGAACAATTTGACAATGGCTGTCAGAACCAGAAAAGACACATTCATTTGCCCTGCAGTTTTCTTTTTTTTAATAAATTTATTTATTTTATTTATTTATTTTTGGCTGTATTGGGTTTCCGCCGTCGCACGGGCCCTCTCCAGCCCTGGCGAGAGGGGGACAAGCCCCACCACGGTGTGCGGGCCTCTCATCGCGGTGGCCTCTCTCGCCGCGGAGCACAGGCTCAAGGTGCATGGGCTTCAGCAGCTGTGGCACATGGGCTCAGTAGTTGTGGCACGCGGGCTCTAGAGAGCAGTCTCAGCAGCCATGGCACACGGGCCCAGCCGCTACGCGGCATGTGGGATCTCCCCTGACCAGGGCCCAAACTCATGTCCCCCGCACTGGCAGGCGGACCCCCAACCACTGCGCCACCAGGGAAGCCCTGCTGTTTGTTTTGAATATAATCACATATGAACTCAGAGATAGTCATACAAGGATGCTTGTTGTAGTATTGTTTGTGCTAGTAAAAAAAAAAAAAAAAAAATGGAAGTGATGTAAATGTTTATTATTTGGTAACTAGTTACATAAATTAAGATACAAGAACACAATGAAAATGTATGCAGTTGATAAAAGAAAAAGAAAAACTGGTGAATCTGTATTGCTGATGTGAACAGAGCTTCAAGGTACTTTAGTTGTGAAAGCACAGAGTCCAGTGCATTTATTATGATTACATTCGAGTTAAAAACAATTCTTATATTTTTTCCTGTAAGACACTCAAGAAACTGGTGCATATGAGGAATGGGAATGAGGAAAGATTAAGAGGGTGGAGAGTTTTCATTTCATACCTTTCAGAATCATGAGCATGTATTACACTTGTTAAAAAATTTAAAAAAAAAGAACAGGAAAACCAAAACTTCCCTATATTTCTTACAGAACAAAAACTTAACTCCTTATTTTGTGACTTTTAAGGCACTTCAGTCTGACTCAAAACTGGGGTTTTTTAACTTTCTCATTATACATTTTATCCCCTTAATTTCTGGATGAATTGAAATGCTTGCTTGGCACCGCACAGATCTAGTCATTTTGGCCTCTTTCCCCTTTCGGAGCCGGTTCCTCCAGCCCACATGGCCTCAGTCCTTTTCCGCTTGGCCAGATCCGCCCATGTTTCAATTCCCATCTCCTTTATTTCAGCCTCCACTGATACCCCAGCTGGAGCTAACCTTTCCCACCTGTGAACTAGCATGCCCCCCAAGTTCTATTCTATTTTGACACTTACCTCTTGGGCCTTGGGTTATATATACCATCTGCCTGCTGCCCGCCAGGTACAGAAGAAAAAGCTCTGGGATGGATCTTCCTTTGACATCCCCCTTAGTACTCTGTAACACTGAGCCATGCTCTGAGGCAACCTGTGTTTGTGGCATGTGAGTGATGTTAGCAGGCCTGACAGGTACAGGGTCGAGGGAGGCGTGACCATCCAGAGCATCATGAGCAGAAATAAGGACTGTCCTGCATTGTTGTCGGGAGTGTGAACTGGCACAGCATTTCTGGAGGACCAGTGCGTGGCTGTCAGTCTGTCTCAGCACACACAGAACCACAGTACCTTTTGCACGGGAGCAGGAAGCTCCGGCTCTGGATGCGTGATGGCTACATATTCCAAATTTGAGGCTCCGTGACTCTGTTGAGTCCACATGGCAGAATGGGTGGCGACCCCAGGAGGGAGGCACCATCTCCGGCCTCCTAGTTTCATTCTCCTCCCAAAGTTCCACACTACCTCTTTATTCCAAGGAGCCTCATTGTTTATGAAGCGCCCTGTGAAAAAAAGGTTAAAGTCCACCCATTCAGGTGTCATCTCATCATTTGTATAATCTGGGCGTTGCATTCCTGAGCCGTGACCCCTTTTCAGAGCCTGCCTAGTTAAGATGTCACTTGCCTGACAGTGAGGCACTTAGGCTCAGAGAGGAAAAATCACTACGTGCCCCCTGCCCCCCCTTCTCAAATTTTCCCTAACAATTAACGCTATACTCACTTGACACCCTGGTTCCTTATTTGGCTTTGTAAACCCTGGTCCCTTTTTCTATTAATTCCAGACATTAATATTTTCTTTCACGCAACTGCTGCCATTCACCCGTGAAACAGTTTGAACATTATGTAGCTGTCAAGATGCCTGGGGATTACCCAGTATGCTTTGCCTGTGAGAAAGTGACACCACCGAGGCCTGGTTTTGAGATGTTTATTTTGAGAGCACGCTGACAAGCATGAAGGCCTGATCCCAGAGTGGCAATTTCATTTAATTAAAGGCCTCTTTTTATTAGAGTTTTCCCCCCACTTTTTTTTTTTTTATCTATATATATCAGAATGACTGTTAAAATCTGACTTGCCACAGGTGTTCTCTTGTACTCTCAAAGAGGGGGTATGGACAGATTACTGACTCACTAGTCACTATCCCACTGAATGGCTGGGGATGCCTTCATTTTTACTATCCTGGTCAGAATTGCTGCTTGAGCGTGTGCGAGTACGTGTGTGTCCAGGTTTAAAGTAAAGACTGCTGGGTTTCTGCCCCTTTGTTGACAAACTTAAAACGTGAGTGCCGAATATGTATATATGTATATTTGTAACTTGATTTCTTTGTTTTAAAGTTAGCAGCCTTGTCATACTGGAATGGCTGAATTATCCAAATGATACCTTGGTTACTCTGTTAAGACTTTTAGCCAATGTGTATTATCTTGCCCCCAAGTGATGACTCCCAGTTAGAATAGTTAGTATAAGAATTGCATTCATGCTCAGGAGTTTTCCATTCTGCAGAAACCTCAGAAAGAGCTGAAAAAAAAAAAAAGATTGAAATAATTCATGGTGGGTATTAATGAGTTGGAAATGTTTGTGACAGAGTAGCCTAATTAATTTTTGATGTAATATTCTTAGACTACATTGGCTTGACTTTAACATCAAGAACTCATGTCAGTAAATCTGTGGAGGCCTCTGCTGGGCATTGTCCAAGGCACCTGGAATGTGTCAGTGAACAAAACAGACGGTTGGTCTTTGAGCACTTATTCAGAGTCTGGTTCACAATGAATTATACCAGCATACCTCCCCAAATTAGATTTTTTTCCTTTCTTTGTAGCATTATCGGCTAGCCTTCATTCATGCCCTCGTGGATTATTCATTTATTTGTGCCTCCTTTATTCATCCTTCACTAGGTAGTGATGTGCAAGTATGTCCCAGTCACTCTTCTGTGTCCCAAGTATGATGGCACACTTGCACAACACATTAATCCTGGTATTATGTTTGTGGGCATGTTTTTTTTCCTCAACTGATCTGAAAAATGTGGAGAAGGGTCCATCATTGGCCCTTCTTTCTGCTTTGGACATAGTGGCTATAGCGGTACATTATTCATTCCTTTTCAAAGCTTCCTGGGAGGAGGCAGCTGGTCAAGGGTGTTGGCCCGAGGCCGGCGGGTTGGAGGACCTTGTTGAGGGGCGTTCAGCTCGCCAGGGGGAGACAATGTTCTCTGCTTTACCGCAGGTGCGGAGCGGGGGCGGGGCGAAGAATGGCAACTTTGTCAGTTTAATCTCTATGCCCCTGGTTCTGGGGTCTGAGTCCCCAGGCGTCTGAGTCGGTGGTTCCAGGGATTGATTGATTTATTATGACTATATTATAAAGTACAGGGTTCTGTTGAGTCAGCCATCTGGCCAAATGTTTGAAAATGGTTTCTTTCCATTTTCACTGACTCACTGCCATTCTTAGGAGGAGTGGGCTTCTCCCCAGGACTCCTGAGATGCTTGGCTGGTGCTGGTGGATTTTATTTCTTGAATTTTTTGTGGGTAGGAGAGTGATGACATACCCACAACGAAACCAAACAGAAAAAGCTCAAGGAGCCCATTTATATTCTACCAGGAAAGGCAAAGAAGAAGCAGTCATTTACCCCAGATTGTTTCACTTCTCTCCCCTCTCCACCTCTGGGGCCTTCAGTCTCTGTGCAGGGAGACATTTGTTCTGGGTGTGCTCAGTGAAGTGCTTTGAGCCTGGAGAGCGTGGAAAGAATCTTTATTTAATGGAGATCCTAGGCTTTTTACGTATATTTTAAAAACCTGTCTTGCTCTCTTTTTCATTTAAAGGCACGAGTGATCCCTATGTGAAATTTAAGCTGAATGGGAAGACTCTGTACAAAAGTAAAGTCATATATAAGAACTTGAACCCAGTTTGGGACGAAATAGTCTTATTGCCAATACAAAGCCTTGATCAAAAGCTGCGTGTGAAGGTAATCCCAGATGACTTTCAAATCTGCTCTTTTATTAAAAACATTTATTTCTCAGCCATCTTCGCCCTCTTAAAAGTCAACTTCCCCAAATTCATTCTTGTATCATTCCTAAGCACTGGGTTAAAAATATAAGTATGGAAGGGATTCTTTATACCCTTGGTCAAACTCTATGTTACTCTCAGATCTAGCAGAGTGAAAATAATATCTCCATTGATTGTATTTAAACTTACTGAATGTGGAAGAAATATTACTGCCAGTGCAGTGGTGACAAGTACTAAAGCCTTTCTCAGAGAGCTGTAAGCTACCGGTTGTAAGCATCAATTGCTCTGACATCTGGGTTAAAACTGCATGAGTTGAGTGCAGGATGGGATTGCTATAGAATATTTAGCAAATTTCTATTTAATTGGCAGATTTGCTCACTGTGGAAAATACTAAATTTTAATGAGAGACCATTTAAACCACAGAGAGTGGTCCATTGTGCATAATATCTTAATGCATATGAATACTGCCTTAAAAGTATTTTCTGTTATTTTGGCCATAGTAAGCAAAATGCACAGGTTTGAATAATTTTGTTCTCCCCCATCAGCTTGGTTAAATTCTTCTTTATACTGTGCAAATTACTTTTAGATCTACAAGACTGAATTCAAAATTCCCAGCCTATTGCATTTATCCATACTTTGATATACTCAGTTGGTTTGCCATATTAATGTGTGTTACTGGCCCCCTTCTTCTTTGTAGGTGTATGATCGAGATTTAACTACATCTGATTTCATGGGTTCTGCATTTGTCGTTCTGAGTGATCTTGAGCTTAACAGGTATTGTAATTTTACCATCTAGTTGTTATTAGCGAATTTTAGAGGGAACTCAAGATAGTCAAATGACAAAATCAGAATAAATGAAAGAGTGCTTTAAAATGTGAGTTTTTCTATAATTTTTGCTTTTTAGCTCCCAAATATATATTGGTCAGATAGTACATCTCCTATAACATAACCTAAAAGGTGTATTGAATTTTGTACTTTCGTGTTCATTAACCTACTTACCTGAAAATTAAAACAAGTATTTACATTTTCTTTGGGCAGTAGGGGAGAAGAATCAGTTGACCGACTGTTGAATTAGGCAAATGCCAAACAGTTTCTCTACCCCTGAAGATGGTTGGTTTATTTCCGCTGAATCTGGTGCTTTGTTTAACTTGTGTCTCACCCCTGTTCAGGGGTAGGAGATTTTTATCATAAGCTCCTGATGTATTCTAAGGCTATAAAGTACTACCAATAAGTGCTACCATCATTTGTTGCTTTTTGCTTATAGAACGACTGAACATATTTTAAAATTGGAAGATCCAAACAGTTTAGAAGATGACATGGGAGTGATTGTATTAAATTTGAACCTAGTAGTAAAACAGTGTGATTTCAAGAGACACGTGAGTGTGACCCTTTTGTTCTTTTTAAAATTCTCCGTTGCAACTTTTCTTTGATAATTGGGTTGCCAGATGGCTGACATTTTTGTATTTATTTGGGTAGGGGGAAAAACTGTATAGAGACTTAAAGTACCTATCTGTGATAATGTACACCCTTTCTTTTGGAAACCTGGAAGGAAATCCAGTAAGGAATGATCTCTATTTTGGCTAGGGATGTAAACATTACTAATATTGTAGCAATAATACTATTGCTGTTATTAAGTGTTTTTGCTGCTTATGGTTTGCTTGTCACAGATCATACAAAATATGCTTTTTCTAAATGTTAAGGTTTCCATTTACTGTTTTCTTAGGTACTAGATGACTTAGGCATTATTTAGTTATGAAAAGCTGTTCCCAGGATTTAGTCATTGTGTTGTACATTACTAAGGTGATCAAGTATACATTTGCAGCATTTCCGTTTCATCTTCCTTTTTCTTTTAGCTACCAAATTTTCTATTGAGAGTTCTTCTGGGAAGACACACATTTAATATTCTCTAGTCTGTTACATGGTAATTTCTAGTTAATGCATTACCTATTAAAGATGTCTGTAACATCAAAAAGCATTGGATTTTGTGACAGTATGATGGGGACTCTGTTTTGGGGAGCAAGTATGTGAATACAAACTGTAATCTTATTTTATATTCTGGTATTATACCTTAAAATTCCAAGAATGAAAATGAGAATGAAAGCATCTTGGATTGTCATTTATTTGAAAGGTATTTCAAAAGCCAATTAAAAACAGCTACTTGAAAAAGGACAAAGATGTGTTAAAATTTCAGCATGTTTAGAATCTGGTATGAAAATCTGAAGCCTGTTTATAAAGTAGGCCTCCAGTAATACCTCTTGAATTGAGTCAGTGGGGTCAGTGTGGAGAGTATTCTTCATTTTGACATTACCTTTGCAGTTAGTTGTAATTTATTTTCATGATGAAAATCATGAGTGATTTACTAGTAAACTCACTGAAGATAGTTTAAAGGAGTAAAAAAAAAAAACAACCAAAAAACTGCACAGTGATTTTTCAATTGCCAGAGGGTCAACTAAACAGTTGCTATTTTTAATCTGAATTCTTTACTTATGAGCATTTACTTGATGATAACTTTGCGGGGTGGGGGGAGATCTCCATTTATTAATTAAGAAGTGGCACTGTTAAAACCTGAGGCCTCAATAACATTGATATTTTGATACTAAAATGTCTTAAATTCATGTCAAAAATAATTTTTTTTTCTACCCAACATAGTGACGGCGGGACTTCCTTTAACTTCTCTTAGTTTTGATGGCATTGTCATCAGATTCAGTGGCAGGGCATCCAGTAGGTGACCGGTTCCTTGAGCTGGATGCCAGGTTACAATGACATGCCATGGAAATGAGCATATTATTTGCCACGTGGTTGCATAATTGCCAGCTGATATGTTCTGAAAATTTCTTACATATTTAAGTGGGGTTTGTAAACTTGGATAATGACCTCATGAAGATAGCTGCATATTTCAGCTGCATAATAGCTGTGTATTTATTCCACATGTGGATTTTTCTGTAGTGTATTCGATCGTATTTAGCAGTACTACTGGCACTTAAAATATGTTGAAATATTGCCAAAATTTGGAGTTTTTAAGTAGAGCCATTTCAGTCAAAATTTATTTCAAATTGCAGAGCAATTAATACTCAATGCAGCTTGAGTTTGTTTTTGGAAAACATCTCAAAGCCTATCTTTTCAGAGCCCTAAAAGGAGACACACTTGTCATCCTATTTAGTTTGGCCCTTCTTTCCTTGACTCCTCCACGCCCTGTTTTTGAGAGTTTGTCAGATGGTACGCATTATCTACTTGCTGGTACGATTTCTCATTTTCTTCGTTCTTTGCTTGTCTGGCAGGGTCTAGTGTACAATCTATTTACTTTATATACGAGCGTACATACATAGATATACATATCCATGTATATGTATGTGTGTGTATATAGATGTAAATATATAAATAAAATGGGGTATTATAGAAATAATAATAATGGTAATGCCTGTTCTATTTGTTCTGACTGGTAGTGTTATTTTTCTGTTTATATACTTGTTCAAAGTATACCTGAGCAAGGAATAATTTATCCTTGGCCATGTGTGGCTATTCAACTTACAGTGCTTATCAGGGGCCCTTTGGATAGAGTAGGTATCAGAAAACTGTTGATCTTTTCATTGAGTTTAAGTTAGTATTTAAAGATATTCTTCTATTGGGTTTTTAAATGGGGTAACTAACACGGGAGACTGAGATTATTTGGGAATAATTTGTTTATAAATTTCCATTTCAATTTAAAGCCTGATGGAGAGATTTCAGTTTGAATTCTCGGTTTTGTACCCGTATTTCTTCCCGTTGTCATTGAGGCAGTCTTTGTTGCTTTAGAGCCAAGCCAATAAAAATCTTAACATGTGCTAAATGTCTGTGAATTGACCCTCAGGGCCAGGGATTTAAGTGCATACGGGCATGGTACAGTTAGGAGGTAAGGCACTGGGTGGAGGGCTGATAAACCTGCCCTCTGTCTCTTTTTCTCAGCAAAAATAGGATTTTAGTTATAATTATGAGCTCTGTCATCAGACTGCCTGGGTTTGAATCCCGACTCCACTCTTTTTAGTTTTGAGAAGTTAAGTGATCAGGTCAAATTCACAGAATTACTTAATTCTCAGCTACAATTTGTGAAATGTGGATTTAAAAGAAAGATTATCTATTTTATAGGTTTGTGAAGATCAGCATGATCAAATATAGTGCTTAGCACGGAGTAGACACCCGATATATGGTAGCTCTTAGTACTGTAGTAAGCAGACAGTAATACTCATTTTCCAGTCATTTCCTTATCTATTTTTTTAGTCTTTGGTGATATAAAAATCAAATGAATTGTATTTCAAAAGGCTATTTAGGAATAGCCATGTGTACCTACAGGATGGTGATTAATTTTAGTGGTTGTTCTGGGTGAAAATATTTGTTCATATGTTGTTGGGAAAATACAAAAAGAACTGATTTTCATACCCAGATTGTAGTATCTATAACTCTGGGTCACATGCTGAGTGGTTGAGCTTCCAGTTTCACCAGGGAAAGTGTTTTTCCTGAAGAATATTTTCAAGACTTTTTTGTACCAGCGTTTCTACTTGCTGGTCCCTGGAATATAAGTGGATTTTCCCCAAAGACAATTTGTTTTCTGGTTTCTAATTTACTGGGGAGACTTATTGGCAATGTGGATAGGTCATTTGCCTAAAGGCATTTTTTTACTTAATCATAATAGTTACTATGGGCTGCTCAATTAGATTCATAATTGAGTTGTAATCTGCCAAATTTTTCCAAGTTTTAACATCCAGTTAGCTGGTTAACCAGCCAGAGTAGAGCTTTGCAGTACTGGACGGTGACAGGAGTAATGAGAGGATTTTGTTAGGAGAGAACTTTAATTGTAGATGAAATTCAGCAGTCTTAGCTCGACAAATGAGAGATCAAAAGAGAACAGTGGTGAAGTTACTGGCTGTTCAGAACATTTTTTTCTTCCCTCCCTCACTGGTACATTAGCCTATTTTTCTTCATTGTGAAGAAATGACTCAGATTGTTTTTCCTATTATTTCGAATATTGAAATTTTCTCAGCAGAGGGCAATGGAATTATTTTTTCTAGTATCTAAAACTACAGAAACCTAAGCATGAACTAACTTTGTCCATGAATTTCTTAAACATTTTTATAGTGTGCTATCTGGATATTTCAGGTAGGAAAAACCTGCCTTTCCACTTTGCTTTTCGAGGTAAAATTAGAGTGTTTTCAGGCAAATAAAAACATAAATATACTTGTAAGGACTGAGCAGTATTCTATGTCCTTGTTTTTTCATTTTTGAATACTGTGAGGAAATGATGTAACACAACCACAGAAATGTGATTTTTCTAGGTTTCTAACTATTTTCTTGCTCAAATGTGTTTTCTCTGAAACCTCAGAATGTGGGTGTCAGTTGCTTGAATGTAGTCTGCACCATCTAACTAGCATGGTAACATCATCATGTTGTTAACGGCTCTATTTCTCTCTTTTATTTTGCCATTTTTCACGATTCACTGGACATAATCCTTAGCGTTGGTCAAATCGGAAGCAGTTAAGTGCCAGCAAGGTAAATATAGCTGTTTTTTCTTTTCTTTACATCATGTGGTTCACCTTTGTAGCGAAGACAAATGTAGACAAGATTATTATCCAACCTTTACATGGAAAGGCTTTCTTTTCCTCTTACTGCTGTTATGAATAAAAAGGAAACAAACTCCCTTTTAAAATTTCATTTAATAAGGGCATAGCCAGATGTTTGAACTTACACTTGTTTTAGTGTTGACATTTTATACGTACCGGCCGTGTTAGAATGTTACACTTCATTAAGCTTGAATTATTTGGAGTTGTAGTGCAGTTAGATTTAGTCCTTTAGAAAGCTATTTACCATTAGGTGGAAACTGTTATAAGGGCAGTGAAAAGATTGAGAAGAATACATGGTATATTTTATCAATCTTTTTTCATATTACTTTTATTTTACCTTTTTTTTTTTTCAAAGTGTTTCTTTAAAGATTTCTCCATGAAATACCGGTGACTTTTTTACATTGTTAGTATCTTTTTAAACAATTATATACTTTTGTGCAATTTATAAAAAATATAGGTGTACCAAGGTAGGGATGTGTTATTATCAGGTTATTAAGGTAACATATTGTAACTTAAGTGACTAAATGTCAAAATTAATGTAAATGTAAACAAAACCAAAAATATTATGTATAACTTACTTTAGCAGGTCTACTGCTTTTAAAAGAGGAATAACCAAGGTGGAGGTGGCCGTGATGTGTCTGTGTATGAGGGGAGGGTGCGTGGGCAATCTCTGTATATGCATTTATTTGTACACACACATGTGTACACAGACATATGCCATCTCTCATTTCTAACCTCACCACGCTGCAGTTGTTTACTTCTCTATAAAATAAGGAGATTGAAACAAAGATTCCGTGTGTTTGTAAGAGCGTGTGTATGTGAAAGAGAGAGAAGGAGAGATTTGTAACCTGACTAGTTCCTAGGAAAGAAGGTAAACTTTTCTAAACCTTGCTTTCTCAAATCCAGAGGAATCAAAGTTCTGACTCTTCCTAAAATGTATATCCTTTGCATTTTTGAGCACTTTAAAAATAAACAGGCTAAGGTTTTTTTTTGTTTGTTTGTTTGTTTTAATCCTACCTGTTCACTTGGTTTCCAAGACTCTGGTTCTTTTTAGAAATAAACTTCAGAGGCAGTAAGTAATCATGTGAAGTGGTCTCAAAAATTCCTTCCAGCTTTTGTCTTATTCCTTTATAGTCACTAGAGGGTAGAAGAACATCGTTTCTCTCCACAGAAGGGCGCCCAGCTCTCCCTCTCATGTATTAAGAGTTGCTGTAACCATTCGCAGCGGTAAAGTTTCCCAGCATGCTCTGGCGAAACCTGACAAAGCAGTATTTTCTCATTTATTGATTCTGCTGCTGCACTAAAACACTGGTACTGTACATCAATAACCATCTTTAGTTAGGGACATCCGGCCTGTGGAAGAGCACTGGCAGTTTGCGGAAGAACATAAAGGCTAGAAAGAAAAATTGTGAGCTTGGGGAATATGGGAGTCTAGAGGAGGACAGCAGAGGTTAGGAAGAACACCAAAGGAATGAAGAGGGGGAGGAAAAATGTTATCAAAAATATGAAAGGAACAGAGGAGGATCCTGGAACTGTCATCTTCTTTTTTCCCTGTCATTGTAGTTTCTAGAATTTTGACTTCAGTGCACTGGGCTCAGAGACTAAATGCCCAAACCTAATACAATGTTTAATAAAACCTCAGATGAATATAGGTCATTGAAAGCTACTTGCGATCTTATATGAGAGATGCCATTTATATATTGGTGAAGAGTTTCAATTGTTAGGTTGACATTTTGCTGCTTAGAGTTTGCAGTTTTGGAGGAAAACATGAGATAGCTTCTAATTTAGCTTATGAAAATGAGTCATGTGGAAAATCTATAGACTCTGTGATTAACCTTCTGTGTAAGTAGTTAAAATACCCTGATCAACCTATCTTGGTATTTTTAAACTATAAGCTTCTTTTTTTAGGATTTCCATATTATATTTAAAAATTAGGTAACAGAAGTTTAATATAAGGAAGAGTACTTACTATGAGTGTCTAAAATTTTACTAGTCCTAAGTGATGTATTACCTATAAAATGTCATTGACTCTTTCACCTCAATCTTATTCTTATAATAACTTAACTTTATTTAAATAATTGCTCTTAGACCCATAAGTTTATAATTTTGCATCATCTAGAGGGACCCAGAATGGCAGAGTCTTTGTGGACTGTCTTCTAAAGCATTTCCTAAATTTTTCTTTTTTTTTCTTTTTTTTTGGTCTCTCGTGGGCTTAGTTCCCCAACCAGGGATTGAACCTGCACCCTCGGCAGTGAAAGCACGGAGTCCTAACCACTGGGCTGCCAGAGAATTCCCCGTTTCCTTGATTTTGATACTGACCTTGATTTTAATACAGTAAATACATAGAGATTGCCTTTAAAAAATAGCTTTAGGTTTCATACAAAAGCCTTTGTTTTTCTTCTAATGAGCCTTTTAAAGAGAGAACTGAAAATCTTATTTAAAAGGACCTGAATCAGATAACTACTTTTTTTTAGATATTTACTGTGCACAGTCTTTTCTGTGAATAGATCTGTTTCCAAATCTTACTTCTCACTTTCTAATGTATATCATAGTTACAGAGATAGAAAACTAACAGCAGTTACTTCTCTTGCATCAAATAGTCTAATGGGATAAAAACACGATGATAAAATATGGAATTGATGGGTCACTGACTGTATTCAGGAAATCTGCGTATATACAGACCACACCCTTGCCCTTTCATTTGGGACTGTATTATGAGTGACCACAGTGCCCTTTTAGTTATGGATTTTCTTTATTTTAGATAATTTGCACTGAGATACGTATTTATTCTCACATGGCTCCTCTTCTGACCCATTGTTTTATGCAATTATGTGTCAGCCGTTTAAGGTAGAAGACATCCCTGTACCTAGTGCCACATTTTTTTTCTGTACCCTGATCCTAGCATTTACTCTTTTTCTCTCTCTAGCCCAGGGGTCATTGAACTTCAGCCCTGTGTCTGCTTCTGCAAATAAAGTTTGATTGGAATGCAGCTGCTCTCATTTGTGTATGCACTGCCTCTGGCTGACGTGGCAGAGTTGAGTACTTGGGGCAGACACTAATTCTTACTACCTGGAACTTTACAGAAAGTCCGCCCGCCCCGCCCTCACTCCAGCCTAAGAGTGCTGGCTGCTTCCTCCTGTTACTGACCTTAACTTTTCTCCATATACTCTATTTGGCATCTCAGCTTTTCCATCGCCTGTTCTCCGCATTATATTCCCTCTGTTCGTAGTTTCCTGTTGTACTCCCTGACAAAATATAGGGGCTACGCTCTTGCTTTCGGCTTTTTTGGATACTTTATTTCAGTGTCATGACTCCGAGTCATGAATTACATGGTGAGGGTTCTGCCTGAATTTAGGTTATGTCCTCCTTGTCTTCTTTCCCCTTTTCCACTTTCTCTTTTTCCCTTGGGCTCTGTCTGCCCCTGTTTCTAGCTCTCTGACATCTAGGACTCAGAACTGGTAGGCAGTCTCAGAAAGGTGGAGTTGGTAGTAGCAGTGTTTTGCTGAGGTTGGTCTTGAACCCGGAGAGCTGTCTGTTGCATAGGCCAGCGCCTCCTTTCTCGGCTGGTTTGTCCACTTGGGCTTTTTTTTTTTTTTTTTTTTTTGCGGTACGGGGGCCGCTCACTGCTTGGGCCTCTCCCGTTGCGGAGCACAGTCTCCGGATGCGCAGGCTCAGCGGCCATGGCTCAC